GCCCCGGGCGCCCGGCACGTGCGTGGCCCCGCCCCCGGGCGCCTGGCAGCCATGCAATGTTGGGGACCACTGGTCTAAATCATTTGACATCCTGAATGACTTCATCTCCAGACAGAAAGAATATAATGGTTGAGGAGAAGTGGGAATGGTAGGAAAAGCAGGGGAAGGGGGAGGGAGTGTGCACGTAGACCCTGGTGAGTGGAACACTAGAGAACTCTGGTATGGTGCTGTGATCCTAAAACCCCCTCAATGCCAACTGACAAAGGAGTTATAAACAGGGTTGGGCAAGATTGAAAATTTTGGCCTTACCCCTATATCAGTGTTTCTCTTGGGCTATGTCTATACAGCAGCATTATCTCAGAATAACTGACATGATTCTGAAATAACATAGTTTGCGTCTACACCGCAAGCAGCTATTTCGACACAGTGTCAAGCTGGAGGACTTGTTACTCTGACTCCTGTAGCCCTCATTCTATGCGGAGTAAGGGAAGTTGGAGGAAGAGTGCTTTAACTCGGACTTCCTGCTGTGTAGGCAGCGCCAAGAGCCGAAAGAAGCTATTTCAACTTAAGCTATGCAACTGACGTAGGGTACGTCTAGACTACCGCATTTTGTCGATGGAAGTTTTGTCGACAGATACTGTCGACAAAACTTCCGTCGACAAAGAGCGTCCAGACACATTGAGTTCTGTCGACAAAGCAAGCTGCTTTGTCGACAGAACTCCGTAGTCTGGACGCAACGTTACAGGCAATAACACCTTCTGTCGACAGAGTTCTGTCGACAGAAGGTGTTATGCCTCGTAAAATGAGGTTTACCAGCGTCGACAAAACTGCTGAGTTCTGTCAACGTTATGTCGACAGAACTCAGCGGTAGTGTAGACGCTGGTATAGTTTTGTTGACAAAAGTGGACTTTTGTCGACAAAACTAGGTAGTCTAGACACACCCGTAGCTCAAGTTGCATAACTCATTTCAGATTTAGCCCTGCTACCTAAACATGTCCTTGCAGGTCTTCTTTGCAATAGGAAATAAAGTGTACTTTTGACATATCAATAGATGTTGAAATCCATGTGCAGTGAAATCCAGCTGTAGCTTAAAGACTTGTTAGTCGGTCAAGGTACAAACATTAGAAGGGCAGCTACACTTGGATTTTAACACATTAGTAAACAAGTTACAAATTTGCCTTTTTCCTACTTGGCTGAGCTTGCAAAGGCAGGGCTGGATTACTGCATAGACAAGTAGCCACTTATCTAGGGCCCAAATTCATAGGATAGAACAAACGTAAACAGTGCTGTGAGACCACGAGACAGGTTATAATGCCACTCCCGCATATTTGGCCTTTACTTCTCCATCACGATAGAAGGGTGCCCCAGCCAAACCAGGACCTGTGGTCACCTACGGTCCAGCACTGGGAGAACCCATGTGAAATCTTAGTCTCATCTTGACATTTTTCTATCTGTATGACAATCACTTTTGAACGTCACATCTAGTCAATTCCAAAATTTCAGGGACTGTCCTAGGCATCAGTGGCCAGAATTCTATAGGTTTTGGGGGAAAATAGAAAACCACAATGGGGAAATCAGAGACACATGAAGCCCCTTCCAGCTTGATGGCAGAGCCATAGTCTCAAACACCTCTGCAATTCTCTATAATTTATACAGCTGGCGGAGGGGCATGTTCATGCCTTCCAATATGATCATACCCATATTTCTGAACTGTATCCATCGTCCCAATAGAGTTTAACATGGCGATACCCTGGCTGGCTTAGCTTCCAGACAGAAAAGTGGGAATGGCGGGAAATAGGTGTATTCATGCAGCCTCTGGCTGGGTGTTAGCTGGTGGCCGGGGTAGTGAGTGGTCTGTGAGCCCTATCACACACCCGAGTCCTCAACTGCTAGGACAAAGTCCCTTCACAGCGGGAAGTCAGGGAAGCTGACGGGTGCCTTAAGGTGGTGCAGAGAGAGCTGGTTACACCTGAGTCTTTGACTGCTAGGACAAAAGTCTCTTCACAGCGGGCAGCCAGGGAGGCTGACGGGCGCCCCAAGAGTCTGCCCCGTGGAGACGGCACGACCCAACGCTCAGCTCTTACTGCATTCATCCCTGACTGGCTATGATTCTTTTAATTGTGTCTGGTTCTGTTACAGCAACACGAGGAGTCAAGTTAAAGCTTAAACAGTTACTATTTTATTGTTACAAGGCAAGCTTAGCTGTTAAATGTTACTGCTGTTACAGATAACACAGCCACTACAAAAGGACAAGACAGAAATTACAATAAAAAGTCACTTACAGGTACCATGAAACCTGTATATGGGGTTAAAGTATATGGGTAGATCTCCAATTAGAGTGGGGCACAAATTTTATACCCTGTGGTCACGTAGATGCTTCTCTTGTCATTAAAATGCCAATTAAGTTAGAACGTCTTTGTGAGGCCCATTCCTATAGGGGGTCCAAAGCTTAATTTGCACCTGTGAGGTGGAGGTAACTAAATCATTAGGGCCAGACATCCTTTTTCTGATGGGGTAGCCAATTCCTCTTCTGGGACGGTGTGTGTAGGCATATCAATACTGGTACCAGCCATAGGCCCCTGACCACCTGCTGGCCCAATTGTCGCTGTTATCTGGTTCCTGTCTAGCATCCAGGGCCATTGTTATTCCAGCACCTCTGGAGGCTCTGGAGCCTTTGAAGACAGAGTTTCGCTCTCAAGGATTCTCTCTCCTAAGGATGTTAGAGGGAGGGAGGGGGGGTTCTGTCTGGCTACACTGGAGGGGGAGAGGGGAACAATAGAGGAGTCTGGTATGGATGTGGGACCCTAAAACCACACAGTGTCAACTGGAAAAGGGGTTACAAGCAAAGCCTGATGTCAGTGTGTACACTCAAGTTCACCCAAGAGTGTTATGGAAGATTTTACATGAAAACAGTGTCAGGCTGGCCATTGGTATCATGAAATGCATGCATAGATAGCAGGCCCGCAGATGGGAGAGGAGCAAAGGGGGTAACTGACCCAGGTCCCAGCGATTCAAAGGGGTCTGGGGTTTTAGCCACCACTGCCAGTAGTGTAGCAGTGGTATAACTCAGGTAGGATGGGGCCCTAACAAATCATGGACCATATGACAGCCAAAGACCAGTGCATGCAGAGTCGGCAGAGAGAGGGATGAAGATACACATGAGTAAGGGTTAGTCTACCTTCAAAGGCTTTGCTGGGATAGCTAGACCAGTGTAACTATGTTAGTGAAGCCCTGTACCTGAGACACAATGCATGCTCGTAAAACGAGTTCTTTTGCCAGGATGCTCAAACTACCTCTCTCAACCACAAAGCAGACAATGAAAAAGATTCTTCATCTGATATAAGCTGCAGCTACCTGGTAACTATGACAGGTGTGATTTTCTGACCAATGTAGCTGTACAATGGTACTAACTATCTCAGTGTTGTTAGACCCGGTCCAAGGCAAGGGGCTCTAAGAGCGTGGCTCAGCACAGAGTTTATAGGGCATTGGGGGTGTGGTTATTCCAATAGCTGGGGTGAGGTCCAGATCTGAAGCGGTAACTCCAGGAGGAGGATGGAAACTGAATCTTTGCAGGAGGCTTGTAAAGAAGAGGAAGAGCTCCATTTTGGCAAGATTCTCACCTGCACAGATTCTCCGACCTGTAACGAAATGCACCACAAAACCAGTTGCTTAATTAACTTTAAGAATGAATAAAAACCACAGCACAACTTCTTAGTAACATGCAGGTAAATCCAGAGCATAAACATGGATTTACTTCAGGTACAAACAGATGTTACTGAAAACAGGACGTTTTTTAGTTAAAAAAAAAAAAAAAAAAAGAAGAAAGAGGACATTGATTATATAGTATTTTAAACATTTCAATCAGTGCAAATTTGCTCTTCCAAAATATTATGGCTGCAGCAATTAATATAGATTTTTTTAAAAAGTAATTGGCTAAGGCTGGTATTCCAGAGGAAGTTAAAAAACCTCAAGCAAGGAAAGAAGCAAGCAAACAAACAAAAATCCCCTTTAAAAAATGTGTTTAAGTTTTTGACTAAAGGTTTTTTTTCTTTTGTTTTTCATTCATCATATTCAGGATTTCCCCTCCATCCATCACTTTGAGTGTTGGATTTGGATTTCTTTTGTTCGCCATTGTCAATTTTTCAGAATTAAATTCAAGACAAATATTCTTAACATTTTGAAAAATTTAAGAGAGCTTCAACTTTTGAAAAAAATGCATAATTCTGTGAAAAATGGTTGATTTCAAAATGTCACAGCATGAAGCTACTTTCAAAATTGTTGTGACTACTTATAGAAATATTTTATCAGCACTAGCCAAAATGACCATTTTAAACTGCACCCACAGAGAAGCAGCGCACAGTACAGAACATGGGGTCCTGTGAGCATGGTAAGAAACTCAGCTTAAGCAAATGGCCACAATTTGCAGTTTCTGAGTTGATTAAGGCGTCACTGCAAAGGGCATGTATACACTGCAATTAGACATCCCTGGCTGACCCATGCCAACTAACTCAGTCTTGCAGAGCTCAAGCTAAAGTCCTGTTTAATTTCAGTGTAGACATTTTGCCTTGGGCTCCAGCCTGAGCTATAGGACCATCCTACCTGGCAGGCAGAGGCGTCAAATTATATGGTTCCATGGAGCCCTGGCACCAGGAATATTCCTGGCCCAGAGCTAGGTTCCATCAAAACTTGCTAGCTGTGCTCCTTGCCCTTAGCACCTCCTGGCTCTCTGGCCACCTCATGTGTTCTCCCTGCACATCCTTCAGCCTTACCTGCAGCCCTGGGGCTTTTTAAAATGTGCAAGGAGGCCTCACTGGCAGTGCAGTGGGGTTAAAGAAACTTCCAGCCACTCACTCACCATGGCTGCATGGCCTAGGGTCTCTGTGCACTGCTCCAGGATCCCAACGCTCCCCTGCCCCAGGGCTACAGGCAAGGCTGAGAGATGCATGGGGGAGCGTGTGGGGTAGCAGAGGGAGCTGGGGGACATGTGGGGACAGTGGACACACGGAAGAAGCAGAACCTAGAGAGCCCGGCCTCTACAGGTGCCACTGCCAGAGGGGTATGCCCACAGGGAAGTGTGGCACCCTCATTCCCATTGTGTACTCCTCTCCCTTTAGAGTCTGTACCCCTCCAATTCTCTGTCCTGCTCCCAGACCCTCTCCAGAGCCAGCATCCAGGATCCTCGCCCCCCTGCCACAGTCTAGAGCTAGCATCCATAATCCCTCCAAAGCCTGCACCTCAGCCTCCCCCCAGCACCAATATTCCCTCCCAGAGCCTGTACCTCAGATCCCCGCCTGCACCCAAGCCCCCACCAGAGCTCCACCTCTCACGCCTTCTGCACTTAAATTGCCAGAGCCTGCTGCCTTCTGACCCTCAACCCGCTGCTGCAGTTCAGAGCCTGCACCCAGCACACAGACGCTCTCTCTGAGCCATCACCCAGTGCGGTCCCATCCCTAGGATAGTTCAGGGTGGCTTCCCCAGGCCCTGTGCTTTGGGGGCTCTGACATGGCCGCTTCAACTGTCCTATAGAGAGGTACTGGGGAGGCCCCAGGAATTACTCAGGGGGAGGGGCCTGGCTCAGGGCAGCAGCAGGGGTCAGTCCCCCCTCCCGCCTTCACTGTGGCAGTGGGAGCTGGAATAACCTGGCAAGCTGCTGCCCTCCACTCTGCCCTGCTGCCCTCTCCCAGCCTGCCGGGCACTGCTTCACCATGGCAGCAGGCAGCAGAGTGCTCTGGCCCAGGGCGCTCTACCTTCTGCCTCTGTGGAGAAGCAAAGTGCAGCAGGCTGGGAGAGGTGCGGGGGTGCGGCACGAGGGGAGGGGAAGACAGGCAGAGACAACTCCTGCTACCGCCCCACACTCATCCTCCTAGTAATCTATGTTGCTTGGGGAGGGGCCTTTGGTAAGAGGGTGGGGTGGGAATGAGGTTTGGGAGAAGGGGTGGAATGGGGATGGAGATGGGGCAGAGGTGGAGCAGGTGGCGGGGTGTGACCTGCAGCAGAGGGGCACTGCCCTAGGCTCTGCGCTGCCCTAGGGATGGCCCTGCTTGCACTCCTCCCCCAGCCATGCTCCCTCTCAGATCCTTAGCCAGAGAGTCCAGGATGTGGGGAGAGTTTGAGTGGAGGAGGGGTGCAGGTGCTGGGCATTTTGGGCACTGACATTTTCACAAACCTGCTGCCCTGGCTCACAGTATCCTAGAAGTTGGGGTTCAAATATCCACACTGCAGTTAAAGAGCACATTTGCCCAAGCTCAAGTCAGTGGGCATGGCCAGCCATAAGTTTTTGACTGCAATGTAGACATACCTATAGAGGCTTCAGTTCAGGACAATGCTTTAGGCAAGTGATTAAGATCCTTTGACGTCAACTGACAATCGCTTTAATTGCAGTCATGGAGTGCATTGGAGTAGCCTAATACTGAAGTTACAAAGGCATGGATCATAGCAGCAAAATTCTCATTAGAAAGGAATGCTTGCAACCTCCCAGCCAGATATAGATGGATAACCACCTATCCAGGTCACAACATTACCCATTGCTGTGCAACAAAGAGGCAACATTCACTGGAGGGGGAGCTCAGAGAAACAGAATAGAATGATGCTGAACGCACAGTCAAACATCCTCAAAGCAGCACCTCGGAATACCCATATTCACCATTGTCATATAATTATGATGTGTTTTATACAAAGTAAGCCTTGTGAGGTATCAGTATATAAGTCTCGATCAGTTGAACATTAATATCCCATTGGATTGTATGTGCAATTACTGTATGTGAAGTTATGAAGTTTTGTTATGTGCGTGTTACTGAAATACGTTGTGAGGTTGGGAATACCCATCACCAGCCTTTTCGGTACAACAGTGGAATAGCCAGAGACAAACGTCCTCTCAGAAGTAGAATTTAAAATGGAGATTATCCCACATTCAGGGCAAAGGAAAGATGCAGTTTAAAGATCCACAAGTTTATGTGATAGTCTACTTAATCTTGGATACTGACCCCCTCCCAGCAGTAAAGGTAAAATAGAAAGCACCTGCTGAAAAAGGCATGAAAGCTTCTTTCTTTACAAACTTCCCTTCGGAGTCAAGAAAATGCTCAGGGTTGAAGGTATCTGGTTTCTCCCACTGAGATTCATCACGTAGTACAGAGGCCAGTAAGGGGATGATGTAAGTACCCTGTAAATCAAATCAGTGGAGTTATTCTTTAGGCCAATATGGTCCCCTGACCATATTGTTATAAGCATTTAAGTTTCAATAAGTGAATGATGCTATTGCAGATACTGTCATGTGACTTCCAATGTGATGTATTATTAATCAATAAACCAGGGCTTAAAAGGGTTCATCAGCTGAATTAGAACTTTAATGATGTCATAGAACTCAAGAAAAGTGATATTACAAACTGTTCACCTTGGGAATAAAGTAGCCTTTTAGAGTAACGTCCTCAGTAGTCTCATGAGGCAAGCTCATGGGCAGGATATTGGCGAACCTTTGAATTTCATGGACAACTGCATCTGTATACGGCATTTTAGTTCGATGTTCAATTCTTGGCTGGGCTGAGCCTATGACGCTTGCAATTTCTTCTTGGACTTTGCCTGAGAACATAGAATGTTAGATAAAAGAGATCAGGATACATTTATCTCTGAGAAGTGTTGCACATGGAGGGTTTGAAAGGCAGGTAAGCTTGTGTTAAAGTGATGTAGTAAGCCATCCAAAATCTGTCTCTTTCCAGACATAACTGGGTGCTGATAATATTACACTTTATAAACATTTGTTTGTCAGCATTAAAACTAAATAGAGAACTTCTGAATACACACAGGTAACTTATCCTGTTACCTGGCTTGCCAAATAATAATAGAATTGGTTGCAGAAACTTTAATGACTCATAGACTCATAGACTTTAAGGTCAGAAGGGACCATTATGATCATCTAGTCTGACCCCCTGCACAGTGCAGGCCACAGAATCTCGCCCACCCCTCTTAGAATAATCCTCTCACCTATGTCTCAGATATTGAAGCCTTCCAATACTTTGAAGGCCCCAACATGCAGAGAGTCCTTCAGCTGTGATCTGTGCCCAATGCTACAGAGGAAGGCGAAAAACCTCCAGGGCCTCTGCCAATCTACCCTGGAGGAAAATTCCTTCCTGACCCCAAATATGGCGATCAGCTAAACCCTGAGCATGTGGGCAAGACTCACCAGCCAGACACCCAGAAAGTTCCCTATAGCAACTCCTATCATCCCTCCATTGACCTATTTCCAACTGGAAATGAATGGTCAATTAGTTACCAAGATCATGTTATTTCATCCAACCATCCCCTTATCATAGAATCAGAACTGGAAGAGACCTCAGAAGGTCGTCAAGTCCAGCCCTCCGCTCTAGGCAGGACCAATCCCATCTAAATCAACCCGGCCAGGGCTTTGTCAAGCCGAGACTTAAACACCTCTAGGGATGGAGACTCCACTACTTCCCTAGGTAACCCATTCCAATGCTTCACTACCCTCCTAGTAAAATAGTTTTTCCTAATATCCAATCTGGACCTCTCCCACCACAACTTGAGACCATTGCTCCTTGTTCTGCCATCTGTCACTACTGAGAACAGCCTCTCTCCATCCTCTTTGGAACCTCCCTTCAGGAAGTTGAAGGCTGCTATCAAGTCCCCCCTCACTCTTCGCTTCTGCAGACTAAACAGACCCAAGTCCCTCAGCCTCTCCTCGTAGGTCATATGCTCCAGACCCCTAATCATTTTGGTTGCCCTCCGCTGGACCCTCTCCAATGCGTCCGCATCCTTTTTGTAGTGGGGGGCCCAGAACTGGACACAGTACTCCAGATGTGGCCTCACCAAAGCCGAATAAAGGGGAATAATGACATCTCTGGATCTGCTGGCAATGCTCCTCTTAATGCATCCTAATATGCCATTAGCCTTCTTGGCTACAAGGGCACACTGTTGACTCATATCTAGCTTCTCATCCACTGTAACCCCCAGGTCCTTTTCTGCAGAACTACTACTTAACTGGTTGGTCCCCAGCCTGTAACTATGCTTGGGATTCTTCCGTCCCAAGTGCAGGACTCTACACTTGTCTTTGTTGAATCTCATGAGATTTCTAGTGGCCCAATCCTCCAATTTGTCTAAGTCACTCTGGACCCTATCTCTGCCCTTAAGCGTATCTACCTCTCCCCCTAGCTTAGTGTCATCTGCAAACTTGCTGAGGGTGCAATCTATCCCCTCATCCAGGTCATTAATAAAGATATTGAACAAAACCGGTCCTAGAACCGAACCTTGGGGCACTCCACTAGAAACCGACCTCCATCCTGACATCGAACCGTTGATCACTACCCGCTGGGCCCGGCCTTCTAGCCATCTTTCTATCCATCTTACCGTCCATTTATCCAATCCGCATTCCCTTAACTTGCTGGCAAGAATATTGTGGGAGACCGTATCAAAAGCCTTGCTAAAGTCAAGGTATATAACATCCACTGACTTTCCCATGTCCACTGAGCCAGTTACCTCATCATAGAAGCTAATCAGATTGGTCAAGCACGACTTGCCCTTTGTGAATCCATGCTGACTATTCCTGATCACTTTCCTCTCATTCAAGTGTCTCAAAATGGATTCCTTTAGGATCCCTTCCATGATTTTTCCAGGAACCGAGGTAAGACTGACCGGCCTATAGTTCCCTGGATCGTCCTTCTTCCCTTTTTTGAAGATGGGCACTACATTTGCCTTTTTCCAATCATCCGGGATTTCGCCCGATCTCCACGACTTTTCAAAGATAATGGCCAAAGGCTCCTCAATGACATTTGCCAACTCCTTCAGTACCCTTGGGTGCATTAAGTCTGGACCCATGGATTTGTGTACGTTTAGTTTTTCTAAATAGTTCCTAACCTGTTCTTTACCCACCAAGGGCTGTCCATCTTCTTCCCATCTTGCGTCGCTTAGCACAGAAGTCCAGGAGCCGACCTTGTCCGTGAATACAGAGGCAAAGAAAGCATTGAGTACTTCAGCTTTCCCCACATCCTCTGTCACTAGGTTACCTCCTTCATCCATTAGGGACTGCACACCCTCTCTGATCACCTTCTTCTTGTTGACATGCCTGTAGAAACCTTTCTTGTTATCCTTCACATCCTTAGCCAGTCGCAACTCCATTTGCGCTTTCGCCTTCCTGATAACCCCCCGGCATTCTCGAACTATACATTTAAGCTCCTCCCTAGTCATTTGTCCAAGTTTCCACTTTCTGTAAGCTTCCTTTTTGTGCTTAAGTACACCAAGGATTTCCCCTGTAAGCCAATCCGGTCTCCTACCAGGTTTGCCTCTCTTGCTACGTGTCGGGATGGTTTCTTTTTGTGCCTTCAGTAAGGCTTCTTTAAAATACTGCCAGCTGTCCTGGACTCCTTTCCCCTTCATGTTAACATCCCAGGGGATTCTTTCCATCAGATCTCTGAGGGAGTCAAAATCTGCTTTTTTGAAGTCCAAGGTGTGTATTTTACTACTCTCTTTCCTTCCTTTGGTCAGGATCCTGAAATCTACCATCTCATGATCACTGCTTCCCAGGTTGTCACCCACCTCTACGTCCCCTATTAGTTCCTCCCTGTTTGTGAAGAGAAGGTCAAGCTGTGCCCGGCCCATGGTCGGATCCTTCAGCACTTGTACCAAGAAGTTATCCCCAACATTCTCCAAAAACTTCCTGGATTGCCTGTGTACTGCCGTATTGGTTTCCCAACAGATGTCAGGGTGATTAAAGTCCCCCATGAGAACCAGGGCCTGCGATCTGGAAGCTTCGCTCAGTTGTCCAAAGAAAGCCTCATCTACCTCATCCACCTGGTTCGGTGGCCTATAGCAGACACCAACCACAACATCACTGCTGTTTGCTCCTTTAAACCTGACCCATAGACTTTCAACAAGTTTTTCTCCCTCTTTATACTGGAGTTCAGAGCAATCATAGTGCTCTCTTACATATAGTGCAACTCCTCCTCCTTTTCTCCCCTGCCTATTCTTCCTGAACAATCTATACCCTTCCATGACAGCGCTCCAGTCATGCGAGTCATCCCACCAAGTCTCTGTTGATGGAACATAGTCTATTGGATTATGCACTTCTCTTAAAACTGAAATGCTTCATGGAATTGTGTCTGTTGAAATTTTGTTCTGGAAGAAATCTGGGAAAACATAAGTTCTGGCAAAGTAAAAAATATCCCATTTGTAACAATTCTGCAATGAAATATTTGTTTTGCTCCAAAACAATTTTTTATTTAGAAATTTAAATTATTACCTCAAATATGTCAGCTTTCGACATACAACATACAAATGTTTTGAAACAAAATATATTTCAATTCCCCCCAAACATTTTTTTAAATTTTCTCTTGTGGGAAAAGCCATCATGAAAAGGAATTTCCAACTTTGCACAATACTATTTTTAACCTTCAGAGCACTTACAAACATTAATTTGCTAGCCTCCCAACTGTCCTGAGATGAATTTTTAGAGGCAGACAAAGCCACGCTCAGGTTCAAAATCTAGGTGATCCCCACACCCAGATCTGTGATCAGACCACTAGAACATGCCATTCTGTACTTAATTGGACAAAATGGACTGTGGGCTATCATGACCTGTGATTAGTAGAGGATTTTATTACAGTTTTCAATTCCTTTGCAACGGAGACTTCCTTGTTCATTCTGTCAATTACATGCATAAAGGATTTTCCCGTGATTCTGTGAAGCAGCCTTCAGGCAAGAAGTCACCAAATAGAACTGTTAAGGAATTATCTGGTGATTGTCAGAAACAGAGTTTGAGATGTGCAGGAAATTTTTTTGGTGATTATCATAAGATCTAACAATGGATGAGTTAGGGGAAGCAACTGAAAAAGCATAAAAGTAACAATAGCAACCAAAAAACCCTTGCTCTGAACCAGATTCTTGGTCCTCCGGTACACAGGTGGCCAGATTCTGAGCTTACTTCATTGAAATCAGGAGTAATTCCATCAAAGCCAGTGTAGCAATAGTGATGTAAATGAGAGCTGGTGGGTGTGGTCTATGTATGCAAATCATGCCTGATTCACTGTGTGTTCTCCAGCTGGCAGGCTGAACATGGGTTGTGGGACAATGTGGGTTGTAGTCCCTCCCCGCCACCTTCTGGGAGGATTCTGTTTGCTGAACTAATCTTTGCACAGTGTGACCTTGTATGTGCCACCTGTATGAGGTCACAATTCATGGACTATACCATTTAGACCTGAAAAGAGCTCTGTGTAAACTCGGCAGCTTGTCTCTCACCTACAGAAGTTGGTCCAATGACGATGAAAGATATTATCTACTCAACCTTGTGTCTCTAAGGCATATAAGCAAGCTGTTGCATGGCTTACTAAAACTGCCTCGGCACACCACAGGCTAGATCTGTCCCTTTGTATCTTGCATTATGTTGTTTATCTGTTGGGATTGCAAACGCCTTGGGGGGCATGGACTCTGTCTTCTATTTTGTAAAGTGGTAAACATACCCCTGGGGTTTAACAAGTAAATAGAGCTGGATGTAATAGGAGAACCATCATAGAAACATTCATAAATCTTTGTCTATCTTTTTTGTGGGAGGAGATGAGGCAAAATGTCATTTTCCTTGCAATTTTCTCACCATCTCTAATGATATTAATTATCTGGGGAAAGATCATGGATGGTCTGCCAGGTTGGAGGAGGCCAGAAATGTAATGTCAAATTCTGCTGTTGCATGACGCTGGATGGCCCACAAAGCTATAGACGTTAATATGACCTTATCTCCGTCCAGTAGTGAAGAGTGTTAAGCAAGGTTTGGAATTTCATTTACAAAGACCTCAGTTTGCTTAGTGCCATAGCAAACAGATTAGGAAATTCATGTCAATGGTTTGAAGGGTTTTCAATGAAATGCACAAAAGTGAAAGACTCAAAACAAGGCAAAAACCATTACAGCTGCAATGGAGTGATTAAGCTAAACAATAAAAATCTGTCAGAAACTTTTGTAGAGATGGTAAATTGGTTAAAGTTTCTTATCCTATCAGTCAGTACTTTTGGGTGGGGGTCAAACGGATGATATCTGCTGTTCAGTTGTGAGTCAGGAATGATATTCACTTTCTGCTTTTGACAAAACACACTGACACAGAATGGAGAGAAGATAAGACAGCCTGGAGGAAATACAGCTTTTGCTGATGTTCTCAGAACAGGGCAGCTGGTCAATCATAAACAGATGATTCCGGCTGAGAGGCGGGGCTATTACAACTGCTACTCTGAATGCCAGATTGCTTGCCTGGCTAGGAACATCATCTGGTTGGCTGGCTCAGGTCCCTCTCGTTCACTGGTCCTTCTCAAGCCAACCAGAGCTAGATGGGTTGTCTCAGTACCAGGTTGACCAACTGCAGAGTCAGGCCCCTGGGCAAGGTGAGTGTGTGGGGGGGAGGAGAGGGGTCTGCACACTTGGAAGGGGTGGGGCATCAGGTGAAAGGGGTGGGGTCTCTGGCAGAAGAGGAGGGGCTGAGGGCTAGTCTCCCTCCACCAGCTCTTCACTGCCACCTAGGGCTCTGGCAGAGATTTAAAGGGCTGGGAATATTAAAGTCTGAGTGTTATTGTAAAAATCCTATTGTAACTGCAGTGATAGTAGAAGTTCCTTTTTAAATTTCCAAGTGTCTTTTTAAGGGCCACCCCAAAAGAGTAGGGGGTAGAATGATCCATCTTCTCATTATTTTGCACACCAATTAGGTCTAATTTCCAATGTACCAATTTTGGTCCGTTGATTTCTGGTTCCTTTTCCCTCTTGTTTACTAGCCATGTGCATAGCAATGTCCTTGAGTGGAACCAGTAAGACCTCCCGCCTCATTTAAACTCATTCTCTTGGCCTCCTTCTTAAAACTTGTCTTAAACAATTGTATATAACAGATCCCTGTGACAATTCATGACCATTCACCCACTTTCCACTGGTTAGGCTCACAATTCAAGAAGGTCTGTGAAGCCTCAATTATTACAACTGTGCTTACAGCTATGACCATGTAAATTCAGCTCTGAACTGTTCTGCTTGCCACGAGCAAAATTCTAGGGTGAATCTGGAGCAATTCTAATGACTAGAACGGAACAGCTCCAGGTTTACACAGGTGCAACTAAGATCAGAATCTGCTCTAAGGAAATAAAAGAATAACCCACTGGTAAGTGGGGGTTCTATGTCCCACTCTATGCCTGAACTACTGAGACTATGAACCTGCTACAGCTCTTCAAGGTCAAGCTTAACTCTTTAGCTCGAGCTGTAGCAGTTTATGTTGTTTTTGCCTGATATTTCCTGCTCCACCCCAGTGCCAGCCAAACTAGAAGCTGTCACAAAAGCACTTACTCTGAATTTTGGGGTATTTCATCATGAGCAGAAGTCCCCAGCGCAGGGTGGTGGAACTGGTTTCCATGCCAGCCGCAAACAAATTGTTCGCAAGGACTATTAAGTTGCTATTATGGAAATATCCATTGGCATTACTTTTCTCCTGAAAAAAAAAAAAAAAAGCATTAACACAAAAAGAAGTCTTGTGAAAACTAGACCATATGTAGCGGGTCTGGCCTGCCTCACACTGAACAGAGAGGCAGAAAGCCCGCCTATTGGGTGAAAAATGCCCCTCCCCTGCAGCCCTTCTGGGCATGCTCGCAGTGCAGCCCCAGTATAAAAGGCTGCTGAGCTGCTCAGTTGGGGCTGACCTCTGGGGAGGAAGAAGCTCCTGCCCAACCTCCAGAGCCACAGCCGGACCTGCCGCTGGAGCCAGAGCTGTCAGGACTGCCACCGTTGCTACTACCATCTCTGGGTTGGGCGTGCCCGCAATGCAGACTCCGGGGGTCGCCTGTCCTGCTGCAGTGGACAACCCCGTCGCTGCTGCCCCAGATACCGGACCTGCCAACATCGCGGCCGCCACCAGCCCAGCTTCTGCAGGTGGGGTCTCCATCGGCCACAGGGCTGGAGGCAGGGAACCCCCCAGTGGGCTCGGCACGATATGGGGAGAACTCCCCGCCGAGCTGGTGGTGGGAACCACCCACCACTAATAGGGCCCTGGTTTGGGGTCCAGTGGAGAGGGAGGGCCCGGACCCTCCTACCCCATCCTCTCCGGGCGTGGACTAGGCCTCAGGGCCTGCTTTCACCTGGGACTAGGCCTCAGGGCCTGCTTTGACCTTGGGGAGAAGAGGGCGGGGCTGGGGACCCCGCCACACCATGTCATAAAAAATAAATGAAAAAGATAACCAAGAGGGCTTTGCTCACATGCCCTCAGAAACATATATGCATCTTTTCTACTAAACAGGACTTTCCCAACTATATAGGTCAGGGGTGAGCAATAATTTTTAATGGAGGGCCACTCCAAGGTTTTGGTAAGTGGTCAAAGGTTGTACTTTTGTGGTGGCGGCAAGGGATGATGGGTGGGGTGTAGAAGGGAGCTTGGGATAGAGGACCGGGGTGCAGAAGGGAGTGTGGGGAGTGAGACAAGTTTGGGTGAAGGAGGGGGTTGTGATCTGGTGCAGGGGTTTGGAGCGCAGGGTGTAGGGGTTATGGGTGGAGGAGAGGATTCTGACCTGGGGGACAGGTGTAGAAAGGTGTGCAAGGTCTGGGAGGGAGTTTTGACATGGAGGAGTTGGGGAGAGAGGACACAGAGGGTTTGGGTCTGGGGCAGGTAGTTGGGGGTAAAAAAAGAGGATGGGATGCCAGAGGCAGACTCTGGCTGAGAGGCGCTTACCTAGGCGTCTCCCAGCCAGCAGCTCTGCAGGAACCTGAGACAGGCTCCTTGCCTGTGTGCTGGGCAGATTGCTCTGCTTCAGCATGGGGAGGGAGGGGGGAAGGAATGAGGAGGATTCATTTGCTTCCCCTTCCTTCAGCAGAATTTCTCAGCTCCTATTGGCCGGAAACTGCAAAGGCAGCATGCAGAGCCTCTTCCTCCCCTCACAAGGCAAAGTCAGCCATGCAGGTGCTTCAGCGCCAGCTCCCCACTGCTTGCCCCCAATTATTGAATGGTGGAAGTGGGGAGCCCTGTGCCAAAGTCATAGTTCATCTAGGGTGCCAAAAATCCTTGGCCCAGCCGCTACTAAAGATCAGTCGGAACAATGCTGAGCATTCTGGATCCAGTTCAGCGAAGCACATCAACACGTACTTAACTTTTAAGCATAGGGAAGCCAGGAATCAGACTATGGCCTATCATGTTGGCCAATATTGTTTCCCTGTATTCCCCCATGGCCGCATCCCGTCACATCATCATATGCACCTGTTGTCTCTTGTCTTACTGTACATTTTCTGGGATGGGGGGTATTTGCTCTGTCTTTTGATAAGTGCCTAGCAAAACCTGGCCCATAACTCACACTCCTAGGTGTAATAATAAAATAGAAAAATAAATACTATGTGATTCATCTGACTAATCAGAAGTAACTAGAACAGTCAGCTGTTTGCATCTTTCTGGACGCAAACATCTGGAAAGATATTTGTCAAGCAAATTCAAACAATGAATACATCTGAGCAAATTGCAATTAAGTGAAGGATATTCAACTAGCAATGAAAGAGATTTTGGCCCTGATGCTGCAAGAATTGAAACTAGTGGGGATGCAGGCCCAATGTTCCAGCCAAGAAATTCTTATTGCAATCATAGCAAACTATTTGCTCAGCACTGCTAGTTTATTAGGTGTATACTTTACCATTGCTAAATTTCCATATAAAATGTGTTTTTAAATATAAAATATGAAAACAAATCATGCAAGTCTGCAGAAATCATAATTACCTCCTGCTGTCTTACAAGGAATGCATCAATAAAACTTCTCTGATCATTTTTGTCCAGAACTTTGAGGCATTCTATAAAAGTAAGCCGTATAAAAGAATGCATTTCACTTGTGTTGCGCAAAAATGTCTTGTAATTCTTGAGTAGAAATCCCAGGGCTGGGAATATGTTATATAGCTGAAATAGTTTAAAATGGCAGAGTAAGCAAAACAAAGTAATGAGAATACGTAACACGTATTAGAGCAAAGATCTAAAAGCAATTCATAAAAGCAAATGACTTGTTATACCTATTTCGCAGATAAGGAGATTGAGGCATAGGAAGATCATACGCTGTGTGTGGGGGTATGAGCAGCAAACAAGCCCTCATTCCTCATAGGTCTTATGTGTCTGGAGGTACAGGATGGGGCAAGAATTCCTAGCTCTCCAGCCTGGTTCTTGCACCTGTGATGTGCCACCAATCAATCCTGAATTTTCTATCACTTGACCATGTATTCCAGAAAGTAGATTAAATAGCCACATTTTGTATATATTGTTTGATCTAGTGTGTACTGCCCCCTACTGGATGGAAGCAGAACTGCCCAACTGTATATCAGAGGCTCTATACTGTTCTCTAGAACTACTAAAAAAAGCCCTTAAAAAGTCAAATTTGTACAGAAAAAAACCCACACAAATGAATTACTTTTGTTTCCCCAAAAGTCTCATTTGGTTTTTTAATCAGTTCTACGGCGAATAGAGATTCTCTTTTACACTTGGTCATATGCTTTTGCTCCAATAAATCTGTTAGTCTATAAGGTGCCACAGGACTTCTCGCTGTTCTTTTAGACTTGGTGCAACAGAAAAGGGTGATGAAATGGAATAAATGTTATGAATCCTGTCAGAGGTGCTCTGTAAGAATCCATGAGTACGGACATGAATCCTAGTGATTTAGATTGACTGTATAACAATAAATATTAGGATTGGATAATGTTTGCTATAAAATGTAATGCTTGAATTCAACAGGAATGGTGGGAAGAACACATAAGGAAGCCACACAATGGCCTCTGACATAAGAAAAACTAAGTACAGACTTGAGGAACAACAGAACAAAATTCTGGCTTCACGAATCTTGCCTCCTTCTTGAAGCGCCATTTTGCTAGGATGGAAGCTGGGAGACACAAAATAGTTAAATAGCCTTTTGGAAGCTGGGGGACACTAAACAGTTAAAAAGCTTCTAAGAAGAATGGGATTTCACTTTCCTCTGCTGCCCTCAGTTAGGATCAGCTGTGCAAATCTCCCCTAATCATTTCCCCACCACTGTTGGAGCCTCAGGTATTGATGTCCTATTGGTCTCTTGTTTTCTGCCTGTGGCACACAACAGTTTACTTGCCTGGAGGCTGAAATGCTTTAGTCCTGTGGTTTTCAATCTATTTATGATTGTGTGCCATGTATGCAACTCTCTATTATGTGGGATTATGAGGCCATTAGGTCGAGAACCACAGCTTTAGTCTAACTCAAGTTATTGGGCTCAGCAAAGTTCAACATGTTTAACATGGTTATCAAGGGCCTGGAAGGAAACATAAAATAGTCACTGACATTTGCAGATGACGCAAAATTGGGAGTAATGATAAATAACGAAGAGATCAGGTCACAGATAAAAAGCGATTAGGCTCGCTTGGTAAACTGGGCACAAGCAAGTGATCTGAGTTATAGTATGACTAAAATAAATATACACCTCCAAGAACAAAGAATGCAGGTCAGTCTTACACAATAAAGGACTCTCTCTTGGGAAGCAGTGACTGAAAAAGATCTGAGAGTGGTGGTAGACAATCAGCTGAACATTAGTTTCCAGTGTGACGTTGGGGCCAAAAAAAGCTCATGTAATCCTGGGATATATAACCTGGGGGCATATTGAGTTGGTGTAGAGAGGTTATTTACCTTTAAAATGGTATCTGATATGACCACTACTGGAATATTGTGTTTAGTTCTGGTTTCACAATTCAAGAAGGATGTTGAAAAAAATGGAGAGAAGATTTCAGAGATCCACAAGAAGGATTACAGGATTAAAAAGCCTGCCTTGCAGTAACAAAAGGGAAAACTATGTAGCACTTTAAAGACTAACAAGATGGTTTAATAGGCGATGAGCTTTCGTGGGCCAGACCGACTTCCTCAGATCATATTCTGGAAGAAAACTGGCATGACCATATATACCAAAGGAATACAATGAAAAAAGTGAACACATTATTAAACTGACAAATCAGATTTAGTATAGAAGGTGGGGTGAGGGACAGGGAGGGATGGAATAGCTATTTGAGTCAATGAATGGCTAATCAGGGGTGAGAAGTGGGAAGCTATCTTTTAATGCTTAAGGTAATTAGCATCTTTGTTAAGGCCCATTTGTAAAGTGTCAAATTTAAGGATGAAAGAAAGTTCTGAAGTTTCCCTCTGTAATCTGGTGTTAAAGTCTCTTTGAAGTAAGTTGCATGTAGTAAGAACGTTAAGACTATGTCCAGGTAGGCTGAAATGAAAAGCAACTGGTTTTTCCTTGTGAAGATGTCTGATTTGTGGGCATTAATTCTTTGGTAAAGTGTCTGAAGTGATAGACTCAAGGAGCTCAATTTACTGAGCTTACTAAAGAGAAAGCGAAGGGGCGACACAATCACAGTTTTTAAGTAGCTACACAGGGAACAAATATTTGATGATGGGGACTTCAGTCTAGCAGAGGAGGCAAACTATGATCCAATGGCTGGAAGTAAGAGCTAGATAAATTCAGACCGAAAATAAGATGTACATTTTTAACAGTGAGAGTAACTTATCTTGCTAAAGCACCCTATCAACATGGCAACATCCCTAGGGATGGTGTTTCCATGGAAATCACATTGGAGACAGTCAGCTGATGTCTGGTGCTACTCGGGCACTTGTTTTTAACTGAAGAAGCTCTCCTGTAATTTCCTATCTCCCTTAACTGCTTATTGCTCATATTTAGTAGCAAAGACTGTCCCTTTTTGCATGACTGATTAGTGCAATTCAGATCCTGGCATTTGCACTGTTTCCTTGTCTCTTTACAAAGGAGTCTTTGATTTCGTGTATGGAATTACAAACCCTATTTGCTTGAACATGCTACACACATTGAGGAATCTGACATTAGTTAGTCTGGAAACTTACTTATGTCACACTTAGGTCATGATTTTTTTTAATCCAGGCAGGGGGAAAAAAAGTCAAAGCTCTCTGGAAAAGGCGAAAATTCAAGGGACTTTGGTATTTTTGTTTGAGATGTCATTCCTTACCCCCAACCTTTTACAGCCTTGATTGGATTAATGTTTTTCTATTCTCAGATTCTCCTATAAACCAAATGTGTTGGGAGTAGTTTTAATGCAGCATTCACTGTCGACAGAAACCTGTAGTCTAGACTTAGGAAAAGCCGGAGAAAAGCGCCAGTCTAGGCGTTATTCTCCGGAAAATAAAGCCTTTTCCAGAGGATTTCTTATTCCTACTTGAAAGTAGAAATAAGAAATCCTCCAGAAAAGGCTTTATTTTCCGGAGAATAATGTCTAGACTGGCGCTTTTCTCAGGCTTTTCCCCAAGCCGGAAAAAAGCGGCAGCCATGTTAATGCAAATGCCGCGGGGGATATTTAAATCCCCCACGGATTTGCCTATTCCAAAGTCTACATTAGCATCCCTTTTCCGGAAAGGGGTACCAGTGTAGATGTAGCCGAAGAGTTTACTGCACTAGGAATTATGCTGGGGGGAGTACTACAGCCCGGATGATACTGGAGGTTGGACTAGATGATCACAGTGCTCCCTTTTGGCCTTGGAATCTATGATCAATGAATGAAAGTACACCAATGCTCAGTGCCTCTACATAGGTCAGACTTGCTGCTGGTGTGATTGTGGTTGATAAGCAGGATCTAGTCTGAAAGTGGGAGAATTCCATGGGAGAATTCGGTCTTGAGAGGCAAGTGGCGGAGCTGGGGCATGAAATGTAGAGGGGCTGTGCTCGGAGAGACCAGATAGGATTAGAGGTGCTGTTAAGCAGTGGTCTGAAACACTCAGGCTAGGTCTACACTATAAGGTTCGTGGAGTGTCCACACCTCAAGCGTGTTTAAGTAAAATGAAAGAACAGAGGGGTTTTTCTGCTGTAGATATTCCTCCTATGAGGAATAACTCCTTTTTGCACAAGAGTTCTTGTGCAAAAAGGTGCGTGTGGATGGGCAACAGGGGAGTTTTGTGTAAAAAGAGCCAATGGAAAAAAACACAAGTGCTCTGGTGGCCATTCTGTGCGTAGCAATCAGAGCTTTCTTTTGAGAGAGCGTCCATGCAGTCAGTGTGGACACTCTCTTGCAGAAAAGCGCATTGCTTTTTCGATGCGCTTTTGCGGTGTGGGTGCTCTCTTGCGCAAGAAGATTTTGCGAAAGATTCAGACAGACTCAGGGTTTTTTGGAGAGGAAGGCTTTTACTTGTATTGCCACTGTCATCACGCTGTGTAACATGCAAGAGATTGTCTGCCTGGAAGTCCCATGTCTCTCCAGATTTGTTAGAATATAAACTCATTTCATATACATACACAGATGTATAAACTACCAAGGAATTCATTTCAGAGATAGTTTGGATCATGTCCTCCAGGCTGGAAACACAACTGCCACTATGCTGCAAATTAATTATGCTCAGACCGTTTGAATGGCTTTGTCATTAAGGTGCTATGCTGGGATCTCAGAGAGGTAAGTTCAGTTCCCAGCTCCGTCACAGACCTCCTATGGAACCTTGGGCAAGTCACTCAATCTCTCTGTCTCTCATTTCACCATCTGTAAAATGAGGACAATAGTATTTCACATAGCTCTTGTGAGGGAAAATCCAAGAAGACTTTGCAGACACCCACTGGCTATGATGGTAAGTCATAGAATCATAGATCTGGAAGAGACCTAAGGAGGTCATCAAGTCCAGCCCACCTTAGATAAGCAGTTGATCGCCCTACTTCTCTATCTGAATCAGGCGTCCTCCTCTGTTGCTCGTTCCTCCTTGTGATTCTTCCCGGTGTCCGACTTCCTCGCTTACCTCCGGGCTTTGGTCACCGTCCCCCAACTAACCTAGTTTAAAGCCCTCCTCGCTAGGTTTGCAAGGTTGCCTGCAAAGATGCTCTTTGCTCTCTTGATTAGGTGGATCCCATCTCTTCCTAACAATCCTTGTGCCCGGAATAGAGTCCCATGGTCAAAGAAACCAAAGCCCTCTCTCCGACACCACCTGCGTAACCACTCATTTACTTCCTCAATTAGACAATCCCTACCCGGACCTTTTCCTTTAACTGGAAGGATGGACGAGAACACCACTTCCACTTCAAATTCCTTGATCCTTCTTCTCAGCACTACATAATCTGCTGTGACCCGCTCATGGTCATTCTTGGCCGTATCATGAGTTCCTACAGGAGAAGCAGGAAGGGTTAGCGATCCGAAGTTTAATCACTTTGGGAAGACTCTTGGTCACATCCTGAATGCGAGCGCCTAGTAAGAAGCACACTTCTTGAGATTTCAGGTCTGGACGGCAGATGGATGACTCAGTCCCACTTAGGAGGGAGTCTCCGACCATCACCATCTGTCTTCTTCTTTTGCGGGTGGTGATCGTGGAACCCCCATCCCTAGGACTATGCATCCCATGCCTTCCGGTAGAGGGTGTTCCCTTCTGATTTCTTCCCTGAGAGGTCCCTGCCAAAGCATTCTCCACCGCAGTGCCTGTGGAGAGAGCCTGATAGCAGTTACTTACTTATACAGGAATGGGGGATTCTTGAGTTGGCCTTCTCCTTCTAGAGGTTACATGCTGCCAGTTCTCTTCCTTATCCTGTACTGTCCTGACTGGCTCTTCAGCCTGTAGGATTAAACGCTGCCTTCTATCGAGGTAGTCTTCATCCTCTCTGATAGTACGTAGGGTTGATTCTTGGCCCTTAAGTCCTCTAATTTTTTCTTCTAAAATGGTGACTAGCTTGTACTTAGTGCAGATGCAATCTCTTCTGTCTTCTGGGAGGAAGACAAACATGGCACATGCTGTGCAGGTAACGACACCAGACCTAGCACCATCCATACCTGCTTTCCTTCGGAGAGACTCCCCACTTGTTATTCAATGCCTCCTTGAAGGGCAGGAGTGTAGTGAAAAGATTTTAAAGAATGGTGAGTGTATCTCACCCCCTTCCCAACTCCCTCTCCAAACTCCCTGTTAACAGTCCCTGTTCGTAAGTGTAGGGGCTCATAGACACAATCTTTAGGAGATGCTCGACTCCCTCTTTGCCCCAGGTCCTGCCCTTACTCCACCCTTTCCCCAACTTCC